GTCAACTTTTGTTGTCAAAAATTGCTTAAAACAAGCAACGTGTGGTCCCTATACAATTGTTGTCAGCACTAGTACACAAAAAGACTTCATGCCAATTACTGGATCACTCACTGGAGTGTATACACATTATGAAATTCGAATCTCAGTATATTAAGGATCGCAACTGATTTACTATGCTGGAGTAATGTTTACCGCACTAAGTTTAGTCTAAAGGTCTAACTTAACATTGGCATATCTTTAATTTGAGGTTTATTTCTTCAATAAATAGTTAAGTTAATGTTGTCGACATATTTGGTTACTATTATGATTTCGTTTATTTAATAATTTTGCTACTAAAACTAATAGATAAAGAGATAAATCGTATTGAAAGTTATACATTGTTAGATTTGAAGTAAAGTTTGCTCGATAGTAAACAATTGGAGGCAGTAGTTCCGATGTCTATCTCAGCTTAGTTAGACGCTCTCCGTAGCCGAGGCGTTGGCAGATCTCCAAGCAATCCGCTGACGATTTGAGATGTAGATTGAGATCTCTTTAGCGTTACTGTCATTGATTATGATGACGTAGTTATCGATAGATAGGCTTATAATTCTGGTATAAGTAACAATCTTAATGTTATTATTAGTAAGACTAATATAAATGCGAATGTTTAGATGGATGTTTGTTAGAATTTGTAACCTAAACGGCTCGATGAAATTTGGCATAGATGTAGAGGATAGTCTGGAAGAACACATAGGCTAGTCACTCTTGTTTATTAATTTCACGCGGATGGAGTCGCGGGCGAAAGCTAGATAAAACTTTTCTAAGTTACCAGCTTGTGTTACAACAAAGCCTTGATTATCTACTACGACTAACTAAACTAGTTTAATTATTAAAATTATAACAAACCACAACTATAGTAGCGGTAAACCGTACCTTAAATGTTTCCTAACATATTGTATGTTATCAATTTGACATAAATACGACAGTCACCGCGATATCAACAACGATATCAAATCAAATAACAGCAAAATACAACGCATTTGGAAAAGGAGGGACTATCTCGAATGTTACGTGACAATTGCGACATTTTCGTAACATCATCTATATTTGAACGTGTACTTTAAGATAGGGATTCCGAAGAAATCTATATACTTTCACTTTGTCGATTACAAAATTATTGACAGGAATATTAAGTCCTCCGATAAGAACAGATTTACAAATAATTTGATTACTATTTTAAGATAAGATAACCTTACAAGTATTACTTTATACAGGTTGTAATAAATAAAAAACTCTTTTGTTTTTAAACTCTTAGCAATTAAGGCGTAATAGAGGTCCTTGTTTTGCGGGTCAGCCGTCAGTATTGTTTCAATTGTGACCCAGCTGAGGCTCAAAACAATTAAAAGCTTCCATTCTTACTTTAACTAAAGAACAATAGAAAAAGCCACTCCAGTCAAAGATTGTCGGGATTTTGAAAGAATGAAGACTCTAGACGTAATTCCTTTTGCTTATGACCTGACCTTTATTAGTATTACTCTGGTTACGTAGACCTTGTCAGACTCCTCTAATAACGGAATTAGATAAATCAAGACTGAATTTTGTCTTACAAAACATACAAAAATATAATTAATTTTTGTTTTTCTTTATGTATATTTACCTCCTTAGAACGTGCGCACAGCTTTCACTAAAATGGCATAACTATTGTGCGATTTTCAATTGTTTGCAGATATTCCAACTGTTTAGTTGCATAACTAAAAATCGAGTAGTGTGCGCACCTCCATATAAGGTAATGGAATCAAAGCGAGATTAGACAGTTGGGCGACAATTTAATTTTATGTGTACGCTCTTTGTTTACTTGTTAAACCATTCCAATGTTTCCATCACCGATAATGTATACAGGAACAACTAAAGTTAATATTTTTTAAGTGTATCGACTTCAAGTAACATTTGATGTAAGTTAAAGTTGCAGTTAAGTGGTGTGCGTGGCGCGGTTGGCGGCTTGCCAGCTAGCTGTAACACGATCGATGCCACCCTCTACTTTGTAACTTGTAAGTATATGAAATAGTTTTAAAATTTATACAACATAGTTCAACAGTCTGGAATATCAAAACTTTATAAAGGAGAGAGTTATTCATATGAAATGCGAGGGAATTATCGTTTTAAGTTAAACTCCTACTTATTGTTTATCTACGGATTGACACTGAGATTAAAAACGAGACTCCTTCCGCGTGGAATTTAAAAAAGTGAGTAGCTTGTGTTCTTCCAGACTATCATCTACAACTACACTAAATTTCATCGAAATCCATTAGCCGTTTAGGCTACAAACTCTAGGAAACATTCATCCATTCGTCTAAATTTCGACATTTATAATATTAGTATGATATACGCTAATAGGCTTTGTTAATAATTGATCGACTCTGTGTACTAGTTTATGTTCTATGAGAGTGATTTTTAATATCACGGCAAAACATGCGTTATATTTTTATATAAAAGTCTCTCGACAACAAAGTTGCGGCATAAATCGTAAAATGAGCTTTTAAATTCATATTACTGCAATTGAAACCGAGATGCAGCCGACATTTTATGTTCTCCGACTGAGAAACACTTTATTTTGTAGTATTTATTTAAAAAAACGGCTTAGTCATTTTCCGTGCATTTACAACTTCTTCAACTGAAGGATTTCTTTAAATGTAAAAGAAACTGCAGCCATTGTGAAATTAGTTCGTTCTTTCAAATTATGTCCATACTAGCTTTCGCCCGCGCCTCCGTCCTCATAGTCTAAAACAAACAAAAGCTAGTAGCATCTACATCTACGCCAAATTTCATCGAGATCCGTTCAGCACTTTAAATTACAAACTCTAACCAATATTCATCTAAAGTTTTGCATTTATAATATTAGTAAGACATATTTTTTAATTCAAAGAATGGACATGCTTCAAGTTGGCTTCAGAGTTACTTATTAAGTTTTGAGATAAAAATTCATGAGCGCCACGCCTCTAGACTACGATTATAGTCCTCGTGGCGCAGTGGTTGGCAGCGCGCCAGAACTGCCACAGGATTGACTCGAGCGGCCGAGTTTTTATTCGAGACCTCTGTTCGAATTATTTTTAGGTAAAATTTTCTGCAGGATGTATTTATTAGTAGATTTAAGATATGTAATTGTTGCCAAAATTACTAGACATACTTTAACTAGTGTTCTGTGTTTTACAGTAAAATAAAATACGTTTAATTCAATTCTGCATCCAACTAAAAATATAATGGATAGAAATAAATCTTCACTAGTGTATATCTTTAAATTTAAATTAGAAAATTAAAAGTTCAGTAAAGTTAAAAATAAATTACAAGTTACTCTTCTCATATTCGTTTTTTATTTATTTTCAGCAGATATCATTGCCAGTCACCGTTTTACTAAACCATTGTAAAATATATGACTGTTGTTAGTCTAGATAGATTATCGGATATAATTATTACATGAATCTGATTCCGTGACCTCATAAACATAGCCCGTATTCAATTAATTAGGATACTAGTGCTATAAATCTCTGGACTAATAGATTGTCTATCAATCGGTCGATGCTGTGATTTACAACTAGTATTTACACGATGACTCACTGCGATATCAATATTAGATAACATGTACACAGATATAATCAAACTGGAAGAGCACAGCGATCGTATTTGCTACTTCAAGTAGTAATTCACTGTTATCTAGACATGGTCAAAGAACCTATACAGACAAACGTTTTACAGAAAATTCAATTATAAAACACTAGCCTTTGCCCGAGACTCCGTTCGCGTAGAATTCAAAAAAACAAAAGTGATTTGTCTATGTGTTTTTCCAGATTGCGTTCTACATCTATTCCAAATTTCAGTAACATCTGTTCAGCGGTTTAGGCTATTTACTCTAACAAACATCCATCCATCTAAACTTACACATTTATAATGTTAGTATGAAGTATAACTATAATGACAGATCTAGTCAAGACCTTATCAGTTGGATTACAGTAGCAAAATTGTATCGCCGTCTCGTTCATTCTTCTTAAAAACAAAAGAGAAAACAATAGGTTTTGTACAGGTGATTCAAACTCTCTGTTATTAATTACACTGTTCATTTTTAATTAATGTATTGTCAGAGATCATCAACGTAGAAATACGTTCCATAAAAACACGAAATAGTAACAAACAATGTTATATATCTTCGATAAAGGTCACTGTCAAAGAGAAATGGAGTAAGAAAGTTGCTCTCAAGGACGCTCTAATAATATCCTTTACGAAACACACGGAGAATTAATTTAATATCGTTATTATACATGTATAATATTAAATTTCACCGTTATATTAGTATAGAAAACAATATTAATTTAATGTTCACGTACCGAAATAATGTTTATAACCGCAGTTATGTAATTGGAATTCCGTGTTACTGTATTATTTAATAAGTTCACATCAATTGAAATACTACGGTTAACATTATTATTCGTCATTATTAAATACTAGCCGTTCCCGTGCGACTTCATCCGCATAAATTATAAAAAATCATTTTATTGTTCACATTTGTCAAATTATCAATTGCAAATGTTAAAATGACATGACATGACAAACAATGGCAATCTTGCTTCCTTGATGTTGGCAACAATTTAGGTAATTATTCATTTTAAAAAGTGAATCTCTCTTATTATTTTTTTCCGGATTGGAAATTTTTTCTCATAACTATAATCGCATTACTTCTTAACTTTATTTTATCGACATGTTTATTTATTTTATCTTATTGAATAAATAAATTTACCAACGTTATAGCGATATTATGTTTATAAATAAAATCAATAGAACACATGAAACCAATGTCATTTTATGATTATATACGCCACTGTTAAGTAACAGAAATAAGTACATTGTATTTTTGTCGAATGACTCGATAAGTAGAGCCATAATTAGTTGTGTACTTTGTGTACTGTCAAATTACATTACAGTGCAAAATCTATTACATTTGCATAATTAAACTTCAAACTAAAGCAACATACCGTAAACAGATGTATTTTAATCACATAAACAGTCAATAAATAGCACAAAATTTAATCGAAATCGCGAAAAAATTGATATAACGTATACCTCTAGCGCACGCCGCGCGCTCACTGACTCAACGCTCAACTGACGTTGACGTGACGTGACGTCAAATTTTAACCGCGTGTGAGAGAGATAGCGCTCTACAGAAACAAATCGTAGTCACTTCTAGACAAGTGACATTGACCTTCCGAAAAATTGTTTCGAGAAATGCATTCCTTATTAGAAAAGCGAAAGGGGACTTTAATTTACTCTTTACTAGACCTTTGTAACTTTTCAGTTCCATGAAATTATTACATACTAGCTGTTGCTCGCGACTTCATATGCGTGAAATTAAAAATTAATAAAAACATAGCCAATGTTATTCACTGATAACGTAGCTTTTTATTGGTGAAAAAAGTTTTGAAATCGGTTCAGTAGTTTTTGAGTTATCTCAATAAATACAAAAAACACAAATCTTTCCTCTTTATAATATTAGTAACTATAGATTTATGTAAGTGATCGCACAGGTATTGAGCGTTGAAAAACATTTCAGAGCAATATAAAGCATAGTGAATATTTTATTTATTTGGAAATAAAAATTTTACACAGCTTTTAGTGATTGGAGCGAATGTTTGCCGAATTCAATTGGCCCGCGCGCCATTTGCCAAGAATCGATTTACAAAATGGCGTTCGAGGATGGAACTGTCTAATCCCGATTGCAATCGTTCCTAGATCGTTTCGCGAATTAGTTTTATTTTCACAATCGACGCTGCACGCTCCTTCTATGTCGTTTACAATAAATTGCTTTTCGAATAAAATTTAGAACTGTCGTCTGTTTTGTTTATTATTCAACACAACTTTGTTCTACAATAGGCCTATGCTCGACGAAGGGTCTATTCTCAACAATGAGGCTATGCTCAACTAAGATTCTATCGTACTCTTACTAATATTATAAATTCGAAAGTTTAGGTGAATGGATGTTTGTTAGAGTTTGTAGACTAAACTTCTGAACGGATCTTGATGAAATTTGGCAGACATGTAGAGGATAGTCTGGTAAAGCACATAGACTACTTGCATCTGTTTTTTAAATCCCATGCTAACGGAATCGCGGGCGAAACCTAGTAGTAAATAATGAATCTCTGAATGAAGAGTCTAAACAAAACATTGTTAATAGATTTAAACATAATAATCATTTTTATAACTTTCCAAGAATTTCTAGTTATATTTTTTATTCTAATGGAAACTTAAATAGACATATTTTTTCAGTTTCCGTTATAAAACACTAGAGTATGATGGTCCAGTGAAGCGTATGACCCAGTTAACACCGCCAGCGCCGGCGACCGCAGCTCCACGTTACACACAGCCGCACGCTCATTATGTTTGTGTATGTGTGGAATCTACACTGACGTAACGGAAAACAAAAATGTTTTTAAACTTAATAGATTTTATCATTGTAAAATTTACAGTTAATTTTATTAGATTTCGCCAACGACTCCTTCCGCGTGAAAAGACAGAAGTAATTACTTCTGTTTTTTTTTACTATACTTTAAATTTAAAGTACTTTGTTTCCTTCCTATACTCTACATCTATGCCAAATTTCATCGACATCCATGCAGACGTCTAGGTGGCATACACTAACAAACATCTATCAATCTAGATTTTCGAATTTACATTAGTTAGATAAATTTAAATAAAGAAGATTAACTTTGATTCAGACCCTAATTAGCTATGAAACTTTGAACAAAATCTGAAACAATTTTGAAGCTGCCATGGACTAAAAATTACGACGCAAATATACGAACAAAGTCATAAGCAACTTGCTGTAGTTATATTGTTGGTAAATTCTCCTCTATAGCGTACAAATGTATGTATATTGAAGTGTCAGTTTACATCTGAGAGGGAAAGGGTGCAAATAAGTTGTGACACGGCGACATGACGCGCTGAGAAGGGTCCGCTCTCGGGGCGATAATTCATTTAAATTTTGTATCGCAGAACGCTCCGTTAAAATGTTTGACAAACCTTCATCGAGAATTTTGCATTTTTATGTTGTTAGTAGTCAGAATTTTTAAATTGTAATTCCGAATTCGACTCTGTCAATTTTTAAACAGCTTTTAGTGTGGTTGATGTCGTTTGGTTATTTTAAGAGCGTGTGCACGTCGGAAACTAAACTATCAAAGAACTGTTTAGTCTCGCTTTGATTCCTATGAGTTAACATGGACGTGAGCACACTACTAGATTTTTAGTTTAGCAACTAAACAGTTGGAGGGACTGCGAAACAATCGAAAATCGCACGACGGTTGTCAAAGGTGTGCGTCCGCTTTTAAAATCAGTTCTTTAGATCAAACACTATTTAAAACAGTGTTTTCGCATTATGTTTATAAGTTTGACAAGATTACAATCAAATTATAATACATACAAGATAAAATAATCACAAGAAACTTTTGATTTTGCGTTCTAAGAGCAACGTTTCAAATTAATTCTTCTTAAAAATCTTTTAAAAGCCGTAAGAAGCTCAAAAGCCTTTTCACGCCGCCTTATCTGTCCCGTGGCGTCATAAATTAGGAAATTGCGGCAAAATTAGGCAAAGGTTTGCAGATAATTCCAGACCCGTAAGAAGATTAAAAAGGGCGAAGCGTAATTAAGCTTGTGTGTATTGAAAATATATTAATCGAGGTTAGAGTTATGTATTTTAATATGTATACAAAACTTAATTTATTTATCAAACCAATTAAAAAACATTAGCTCGCTATATATTCTTAATGGGGGACTCGGAATAAACCCTAAGTCAGAGGTGACTAGGCCTTAAGCATGCAGGTTCACACATTTTTTAATTTTTCCTATCGATATGTACAGATCAGTTCATTAAGTTAATAAAAAACTATAACGATTTTAAAACTTAACTTACTTAAAACAATAAGTTCATTGACGTAAATTCCTATAGATATTTTTAGTGTGGATATGAAGAGTTTTAGTTACACTAAGGGCTACCAACAAAGGTAAACTTAAACTATTAGACGCAATAATAAAGTGTTTTTTTTTATTTAAAAAATAAACGACCAGTTACTTATCGTAGTCCCCATATTTCAATTTATTACAAATTAGGGTCAAACCCGAAAAGATGGCACCCCTGACGTGTGAAGACAAGGTTGTGTATTGAAGTGGGCAGTGAGGTCGTCGTGTCGGAGGCAAGGCGCCGACCGCCCGTCGCCTGTCGCCGTCGCCACTCTGTTTATATTGATCTCGTATGTCCTACATGTTTCAACGTTCTAAGTAATCTTAGAAATCACTTAGCTAACTTAGATGTTTTGTAAACAAATGTAAACAAGTAATACATGTAGATATACTATTTATTATAATGCAAAAACAACACAAAAGCGGTTAATAAATACAAAAAAACAATTTTTTTCCTCTTTATAATATTAGTATAGAAAAAGAAGTATAGATGAATACGATCGAAACTTCATTTAAATTTATTAATAAAACACTAAAGTTTACATTTTATTTCGCACACGAGCGTAGCATTAGCAAGTTTCGACATTAATTGCGTTAGGGGTCTGGCGAGCGGAGATTTTGCACATTTAGCTTGAAAAACTCCGCGCCACGAGCACACGCCGATACGGGGATATTTGCATTTTTAAACATTAAAAGCAACGCTTATTTTAAGTGGACGAGGTACAGCGAAGCGAAGGTAAGGGATATAACATTAGGGTAACTGCCTCATTCAAGTTAACACATTGTTTTTACGTAAGCTATATGCAAGCTTTATGTGTAGTGACTTTAGAACACACTCGATCAAATAATTGTAATTGCCGAAGATGCAAGGAAAATTGTTAAGTCCGCTTTATTCAGTATGCAAGCGCGGACAACTTAACTAAAAAAGAAAGACGAGTAATGTGTGATTATAACGTAGGTGTGTACATTGTCGTACTTGAAAAATTACACATTTTTTACAATGTAAATTTACACTTTCTTTTCTGTAATTACACTACTGCAGTCATTTGTTTTTTAGAAAAGTTGTGAGTTAGTGTTTTACAATAGTTAAAAATATAATAATTTAATAAGCGATTAATTCCTCAGTCTGTAAGTTAACCTGTATCAATTCGACAATGAATTTTAGTTAACTGTAATTATAGCTGGTACAAGCACGAGTGTAACCTTGTGACGTGTGATCTAAAGTCGCCGTACAACAATAGATTGGCTATTTACTGTTACAGATAGTTTGGTGTTGCAAACTCGCCTGGAAACTTTAATGAATACGCTTCTATGAAACATCTAAAATACCTCCCCTTTGTTTCCTAGTGTATTGTTAACTACAATACGCGGAAATCCATACAATGCAAGTTAAAATATTGTTATGTTGTTTATTTGTGTTACTTTAATAGACTTTGCATGTAAGTGGGTCAATTTTCTACATACAAAAGATACTTTGTATATTTTTGAAAATGATTAAACAATTTATTTAAATGGGATTGTGTTAAGAATATTAAAAACATATTTAATTACTTTAAGTTCTAAGTAAATTGTAACATTAAAATGTACAAGTTAGCTAGTGACTTGCCAAGTCTTGGCGAAAACAGTGTTCTTTAATTTAATTTTGTGTAGCGATTTCAGTTACAACTTTCTGTCATGTCAATGTCATTGTCACTTTGAAAATAAAGTAAGTAACAAGTAAATATAACTTGAAAACGAGCCTCGCCCACTGAATATAAAATTGGTACACGTTTTTTTCATAATTGCTACGACAGAGTTTTATTTCTAGACACAATTTAAGTTGTTTCGGTTTTTATGAAGTTTTTTATTTTAATAAGAGTTTATTCGCTGTCTTGTTTATTGTAAAATTTGTTACGTCACTAAGAAACTCTCGGAGATATAATATTATCAACTTAATTTTTTTTCTCTAAACCCAGGTATAATTTCAAATGTTAAGTGTCTACCTTAATTGTAAAACGTTGGACCTTTATTTATGTAAATACTAGAGGTCGTAGCAATCGAAACTGCTACGGCGTAGCTCCCGCTACGAGAGAGGAAATGAGGTAGGCGCCAGTTGCAGGCGCCTAATTATACTGCCCTCTACCGGAAACTGTGTCA